AAGTTTGGTATCTATCCATGGAGAACAAAAGATGGCTGGAACAGAGAAGAGCATTTTGAGATGACCCAAGAGACACAGGGACAAGGGACACAGGTACAGNATCTATCCATGGAGAACAAAAGATGGCTGGAACAGAGAAGAGCATTTTGAGATGACCCAAGAGACACGGGGACAAGGGACACAGGTACAGACTGGTGCAGGGTTTTGTAGGGGCAGGGAGGGAGTTTGAATTTTGTTCTAAGGGAAAAATGGGAAGCGACTGGAAGGTGTGAAGCAGAAAGTGAGCTGAAATAACTGATGCTTTAAAAAGATAATCTGATTTTGCTGTGTAGAGAATGGATTATGTATATGTGGGGGGGAAAGGGAAAATAATACCGGAGGTTCAAGGAGACTTGGCTTAGTTTGGTAAAGGGGGACGTGGGAAGGAGACGGAGCCAGGATACATGTTGGACCAACTCAGTAAGAGAAGCTGATGAACTGGACGTTGAGCATAAAGGAGAGAGAAATCAAGGAGAAGCTGTGTCTTTGCTTGACCATCCAGATGGACGGCGGTGCCACTACTATGAGTACAGTGTTCTGTCCAAGAGAAGGCCTGGGTTAGAATCCTGGTTCTACCACTTCATGCTGTTTGGCCTCTGTGACAGGAGATGTTATTTAGACTCTCTACTCATTTGTTTCTGCATTTATGAAATCGGGAAAATAACAACCTTACCTCATAGGGTTACAGTGGGAATTTAATACAGTGGGAATTTAATTAATGTAATTGCTTAAAACAGCTTTTGGCACCTAAGTCCTCAAATGAACATGGCTATTACTATTGCTATTGTTGCAATTATTATTATAACCTAGATGTGGAAGGCAGTGAAACATGTAGACTGAGAAAGTCTGTATATGTTAGCCATTAAGTTTGAGATAATTATTAGACATCCACATGGAGATGTTGGTAGGTAGGCACAGGAGCCTGTAGGTCTGAAGAACAGTCAGTGCTGATGATACAGTTTGGAAGTTACTTCCATAGAGCTGGTATCTAGAGCCACACATGCCCTAAGAAGACATTGTAGAGAAAGAAGGGAAGTGATGCAAAAACTATGATGATGCACACTTCAGCCTACGCAGATCAGGGTAAGGCAGGGAGCCAGCAAAGGAGGCTGCAAAGGGGCTTACAGGGAGAAAAGAGAAAATCCTGGGGTGATGCCAAGAAACAAATTATAAGAAGGGACTAGTTACCTGTGACCTGTGATGTGAAGAGATCATGTAAGTTAAGAACAGGGAGGTAACCAATGGAATCTATAATCTGGAGGTCCTTGGGAATCTTGACAAAGATTTCTTATACTCTCAGTAGAGTATAAGAAATAGAAACTTGAATGTCACTTCCCCTGGGAAACTTTTTCTAAGTGTTGAGAATAGATTAGCTCTTTTCTCACTGCACTGGTCATTTCTCTAGCACTTATCACACAGATGGTTGTAAAGAAAGTCAACTTTGAACTAAATCGTCATCTACGTAAAAGATCTCATTTATGTAATTATTCATTTATTTTCTATTTCTCTTAATTGCTAGTAATCTACTGAATAGTAGAGATCACATCTGTCTTGCTTTTCAAAATATCCTCAATAACCAGCAGAATGCCTGATACTTAATATTGCTCAATTTGCATTGAATGCATAGCTGAATAAATAAATCAATGAATGACCCAATATGACTGTCCCTAAAACACATTTTTTAAAAATCTGACTTCATTTAACTAACAGCCACACTAATTGAAATGCTTACTTTCAGGTTATTATAAGTTTTTGGCATAACTAAATAATTACTTTTATTGAAGTTCACCTGAAATGATTTTAGAACAACTAGGTAGAAAAAAATTAGTAAACAGGTACTTTAGTTTGCACTTGTATCTATCTAAAATTTATTTTTTAAAAGAATAAACAATCTCTGCTCCAGGAGATCATTTTAGTACTTAATATAAAATTGATTACCATCCAGCCCTTATTAAAACCCAGTAGATACAACTGATATTTGAGAAATGAAATCTATGAATCAAGTTAACTGTCCACTGCTCTAAATTGGTTTTTAGCTTTATCCTATTATAAGTGAAATGACCAAATATCTTATTTGAATTGCAATTGGTTAGTTTTTTGCTGAAATGACACTGTAGAAGTAGTGGGCATCTATTATTAAGTCTTTGCCCTTTACAGAGTGTTAACATAAATAATCATACACTGAGAATACTTCTGATTCTTCAAATGACATAAAGGCAATTTCCTATATTGTTCGGGGTTCCAAATAAAAACAACCTATGTGATAAATTTCTTTGTAGTATAATACAGTGTAAGAAAAACAAACTTTATTCGTGTATTTTTCTGATTCATAGATATTTTTTCTTTATCTGAGAATGACAATTATGAAATTCAATCCATTACCCTTCTGACCTTGCTTCTAGGAAACTGGGCTGTGCATTTCTGTTTAATTCCGTAGATACTCATCGCCTAAGTTTCTGTATCTTTTGTCTACAATATATGTATGCCTATTTAATACTGTTTCAGCAACCTCTATGTGTGCATTTGTCACCAAGTATCTCCACTTTTTTGAAGTAAAAAGAGCAGGAATAAATAAAAAAGTAAAAGAATGTCTTTTTTTCTTTCCTTTTAATACCAGAGATAATCCATTCTTCTTGGTCTTGCTCAAATAAAACCACTTCTATGGAGATATTTTTGACTTTTCAAGCACAGACTGACTCCCTCTCCTACTTTCCAAGAACAACTTGAATCATCATATAAAATTTAATTATATATTACTTTCAAATATGAGGTAACATTGAGGGGTTTTTTTATCTGTTTGTTTTAAGATCTAGAGTCAGACACAAAAACAATGCAAAAGAAAAAAAAATAAGAATAATAATGACAAAACTTTTTTCCATGTCAGGAATTAATATGCTTTTCTTTTGAAGTCATGAACACACCCCAGACTTTACTGAACCTCCTGCTGCTGGGCTGCTCAGATTAAAAAATGGATCTCAATCCCTCGTCCATACTGATCCAGCTTATATTCTATGGCTCCCTTTTTGTTGTTCTGATTTTTCTTTTTATATATCAAGGAACTATATTATATACACAAATCAATTAATACATTCATATTGTTATAAAATATGAAGTAGAATAGCAGTTAGTATTCTCTACTGAGTATTTATTTCTCCCTCAATTAGATTGAAAGCTCTCTAAAGAAAAGGATTGCATTGTTCTTACTTTTTGTCCCTTAGAAGAGATATTGCAGAAAACAAGTGATATATACTATGACTGACCACACCAAAGTTACAATAATTTCTCTCGTCTATCTGATAATACTCGCAGCATTGTTATTACATAGACAATACCACTTTAAGAATCGACAAATCTCATTAACCTTTTTTAATAAAATAAAAATAAATTTTAGTGTTCATTGAAATTGATATGCAGTAAAATTAACAAAAGCTTGTTTTAAATGATTTAGTCCTACATGGCATTATAAAGTAAGCTAAATATTATTCATCAAATACAAGTAGATGGTCTAGGACTTAGAATTATTTTTTCATAGATGGATAGACAGACAGACATTTGAGTACCAAGTAAAACATTTAATTAGACTCCAAAATTTTTCTGAATTTTCAAATAGTTATCAGTAGTATTTCTGAAATCTTTAAAATATTTTTTCTAAAATAAATCACGTAGACTTGAAATACGAACAGTTTATCAAGATAAAAGTAACACTAAATTTCCATCTGACATAAACCTTATGTTTACCTAAATTAGATCCCAACAGTGATAAAAAAAACTTTCTTTTGTTTTCTAAAAATAACATAAATTTATTCTAAATTAAAAGAAGTGCCTGAAATCCATTTAATACTAAATTAGTTAATGCATTAATTTCATTTTTGAGATTGGCAGATATATCATTTGGGTTGTTTCTATTTTCAAAAGCGTTTATTACACAATATCTCATCCTCAAGTGGACAAGGTATTTCACATTCTCTCCCAGTTCTTGTCTATAAGTTCATCCTATTTACAATCCTAACATTTATTATTATTTTTCTCTTTTAAGATACATAATCAAAACAATTCTCCTTAACTTTCCAATATGACAACTTTCATTAATTACATATTTGAATAGTAAAAAAATAACTATTAATGATTATCCTGAATACATGCTACAGTACTATGCCACAATGTACAAAATAACAGGCTGAAGTGTTACTACTGACTGAGGAGAAAGGCTATGCGATCAATGCGAGAGAGAGATGAGCTGTTCCCTAGAAATGCGGGAGAGAAAGTGACGGGGAGAGCTCTAAGGCAAAACCGAGGCGGTGCGGTTCGCAGGCGGGGCCCTGCAGCCTCTTGATTTTTTCCGAACCCCATTAGCAGTTTTTCTTGTCACTACCAATAGCATTTCCCGTGCAATAACACGATAGCCTATGTCGCCACCCCAAAGGAAACCTCAAAAGGTTTTTGGTTGAGGAACCGACCCTCACCTGTTTCCAGCTTCTTCAGAACAATGATGTCATAGGAGTTATTTTTATCTTTTAAGCTACTTCTTAACACAAAATGCTTTAAACTGGAAACTTGGCTGCTGGACAGCTGTATGAATTTTGTGACTGCAGCATTATCACATTTTTACTTATTGCTAACACAAACAAAAAAACTTGTACTATTTCTCCCCTTGGAAGAGAAATTCAAATCAATGCTAAATACATCGCCTGTTTCGGACATCCTGATTTTTTTCTGTCAATCATCTGAGAGCATTAGCATCATAATTAGCCAATTTGTACAAGGGACCCCCAAACTCATTTCCTTTATACCAAAACATCCAAATCAAAACACAGCTCAGGATTTCCTCTGATATGAGATCAATTCTTTTTTTTTTTTTACTTGATTTCTGCACTCTCCTAAGTGTAAACTAAACAGCAACACTTCTGGATCGTAGAAGCCCTGGCTTACCTCGTGACTCTTAGACACACTGTAAGCAAGGACCCTACGGTCTTGGTCGCAGCTCTGTCAGAGGAGCTGTTGCTCTGGTTATGGTATACCACACATGCATATTGTGCTGAAATAAATATTCTGATCATTTATTTTTCATGAATCAACTCACTTAAATACATTTTCACAAAGCCTAACATAGATTGTAGGAAGAAAGTGACCAGAATATACCCATTCCAGAACAAATGTTCCAAGATACACCTAAAAGCATTTCCTAAGAGTTTTGTACATTTTCATGTTGAGAGGAAGTCAATAAAGGACAGCTGATCCACAGTGGTGATTATTAGAAGACAACTAAAGTTAAACCCTAAACTGAAGCAGAGCAAGAACAAATAGTCAACGCTGGGAAAATCATGCATTATCAACACCACTTGCCATTTTACAGACCAAACAAGTGGATTTCTTCATTTTTTAGCTGGTTAATCCATTCTCCTTTAACATTCATTCAGAGTATGGCATTTAAAAACAGCATATGAGCATGAATATAGGATTCAAATTTGATCAAAATCAGGTCCTCATCAGTTCTGAATACATAAAACAGTGGCAAAGCTTATATTAGCAGAACAACATCGTTCACTTGATGGAACCTTACTTATGTGATTACAACCAATACCATAACAAGGCAACGTAAGGTGTGGTCAAGATTCTTTAAATGTCTTTACACACACACACATATACACACACACACAAAGTGGATGTTCAAGTTTTTAAGAACACTGTTACAGCACTTTGGAATGTAGTTGCAGATATTCAATCATCAAACTGATCACTGCATCAGGATTTAAAACTTGAGAAATTCCGAAAAATATGAGAACAATAATAAAAATAATTGAGGTATAAACAGTACTGTAATTTAAATTAAACGCATGCAAGTTACTGAAGATCCTCACATTAAAATGTTCCATGAGAAACAAATGAAACACTAAAATATTTAAGAATTATTAGGGCCATCTCCACAGACCTTCTAACACACAGGGCTTCCAGAGGTAGGAAGACATTTAATCCTGTGGCTGAAATTATAAGAACACCTGAAGCAATGCAAGATTGGACACTATGGAGGAGGTAATGTATACTTGAACAAAGCTACAGAAATATTTTATACCTACATTGATACAGTGTATCTATTATCTCATCCCCTATACTCTAAATTTAAAATAGAAAACTAGAAAAAGATCAAGATTTCAATTTTGCATTCCTGAAATACCTCGTTCTCCAAAACATACAAATGATTGACAAAACTCATTCTCTTTTTGTATTTTGAGAGTAGCATAAATATAGGATTATAATTACACAGGAGTTAGAATAGTACTAACACTGAAGAGGAAAACAACTGATTTCTCAATGGCTAAATATATAATACTGACAATTATTATAAAAGAGAATATAATTTAAATTCTTTTTTTCAAAATATTTTAGAATAAAGAATGAATAAGGAAGGTGTCTCTTTGACAAAGATTTAAAAAACATAACTGTTTTTGATGCATTGTACTCTTTCAGCAAATACTAACTAAAATACTGCAGATAAACGTGCTTTATTAAATTACATAGTAATTTTACTCCTCGAATTGTGACAATACTAAAAAATTAAATTTATACAAGTAGAATAGCAAGTTTATCTTTTATAAATGGGTTATTTCATAAACAACATGCTTGTTTTAGAATGCTTATTAGTTTTTTTGCAAAAATATTTCTCTACAGATACCTTCAAACCAAGAATCTCCATTTTGCCTTTGCTCCCTATGTACACAATTATTGAATCGAAGACTTTGTCACTTTATATACTCAACATACGCTGTCCATATCAAATAATTTACTCAAAATACACGTAGACAAAATATTTCTAATTATTATATGACAAATTAAAAAGAAATCTACACCACATTGGCAAATCATTAGGTCACAAAGCCAGTCCATACATGTTTCCAAGCTCATGGCAAACTCTGGGGAATTTTACTGCATTGTGAAAAAGAAAAGTAAGGAAAGAAAAATTTGTCCAGGGACTAAATTTTCCTCAGCAGATTGTTACCTTGCACAGTTCTACAAAAGTCAAACTCACAAAGCCCAGAACATTCCTCAACAAGGTGAAGCATTTCATTCCCTTTTACCTTTAAATCTTAAAATCAAACCTGGCTGTCTTTCATCTAGTAATTTACGAACATTTATAGAATTTGTTGAAAAGATCAGAACTTTTTTTTCAAACAAGTCATCAAGCATAGAACAGTGAGTGAAACAATGCAGAGCAAAACAGAAGTCAGAACAAAGCTATCACATACTTCATGGATTAATGGTGTAAAAATAAGAGACGTCTTACCAAGTACCCCAAGGCGGTAGTTGACTGTGATGACGATGACATTGCCATAACTTGCCAAGACACTCCCATCATATAAATTTCCAGTACCTTCCATATACGAGCCGCCGTGGATATACACCATCACTGGTTTAGGGCCCCCACTGTCCCGAATGTCTGAAAAAACAAATGGTTGGCAATTGTTCTTATCCTCAAAAAACACACATAATGAAGCAGAGAATACATTTTCCATTTTAGGGACAAGAGGGCATGATTTTTATTGAGTTCTTTAAATTGCTGTTTTTGTTAAAGTGTTTCTTAAGCAACTTATATTAAGAAATGTTGCAGAAAAGAGCAATATCCATCTTTTTCCTATCTAAAATTTTTATAGTTATAAACTGAATGGCAAAACTTGAACAAATTAAAAGTAGGTGTGAATTTTAGTGTTGTTTGATTAATTTCTAATGTGACAATAGAACAAAAAATAGAATATAATAATTCTTAGAACTACTTTTTAAAAATGATATAGACCTCATATGAAATTTATGAACCATAAAATAAGGCCAAAGGTATCACTGCAATTTTGAATAAAACACTGCTTCCATTTCTTAATAACTGTAAATATTTGTATTGAATGCATTATAATTATGCTGAATAATTTATGCTCCAAGTTATGAACATAATTACAACAATGTATTATACATTGTAAAGAGTTTCATTTCACTACTCAAGTACTAACCATCAGATGAATTTTAGGCAGTAAAGTCATATACAATCTCTACTTCTGTTGTGCATTTAGGGGCCAGTCATTTAAATAATATATTTTAGTTAAGTCTAGGTTATCTGCTCATTATAACTACTCTTACTCTTTGGAAAAAGAAAACAGACTAAATTATATTTTTCACCTCTTTAAACTATTCTATATGTTTAAAAATTCTTAGCCCCACGTTGGCTCTATGATTTTGTCATGTAAACATGAGACAGGATGCAGCTAAGTCTAAGTGTGTGTAAAGTGCCAATATGTAGGGTGATGTTGAAGGGATTTCTGCAGCTCAGAACTTCAATCAAATGTATTTTCTTTTCTAGGATCCTTTCTTCAGTTATGTCATTTTCAACAGGATCTAGAAATAATATACAGGGTGGGCCAAGTACCTGAAACATAGGGTCTATTCTTATTATTATTATCTATTAATTACTGTACTATTTTCCATACAAACAAGTGTAAACCTACTTTTGTCACACCCTACCTAAGAAAAACCTAAAAAATTTTAATTGGGAGAAAAATAGAAAATTTTTATAAAAAAAAATGCTACACTCTATATTAGCCAACATGGTTTTAACTATTATACAGATTGAAACATTGCATATGTATATATGATTATGAATATATATATATATACACATAAAATATCACTGTCACATAACAGCCCATGATCTCTTCTACCCACAATTGAAACAAAATTACATCAGATGTACTATCTTTTTAAAAAAAATTCTAATATTAGCCCAGCCAGGAATGGCTCAGGGGTTGAGCATCGACCTGGGATCCAGGCGATCGGGGTTCAATTCCGGGTCAGGGCACATGCCCGGGTTGCAGGCTCGATCCCCACTCGGGGGCGTGCAGGAGACAGCCGATCAATGACTCTCTCATCATTGATGTTTCTCTCTCTCTCTCCCTCTCCCTTCCTCTCTCTGAAATCAATAAAGATATATTTTTTTAAATTCCAATATTAAAAGTGTCATTCAAAAGTATAGTTTTGTTCCTTTTTTCTTTGACATTTTTATCAGACTTAAATCCCTACATATTTATGATTGAGGTTTCAGCTTTCAGAGTGGACTAATATGATACAAGCTCATTGAAAAACTGATTTACATTTCCTGTAAAAAATATTAAAAATATAAATGCCTTGGCTTTTATACGGTAACAATAAAGTAATTTTTGAAAATGAAAAATCATCCGAGCATCAGGAATTACAGCTCAACTTATTTGTTCAGAATTTCAAGTTGGAGAACTAGCTCATTGCAGAACTTAGAAACTTTTTAAAAGGACTATTTTAAATTTGACTGAAAAGCAGTGTATAAACTTGCACCAAGGGTGTACCTGAGAAGAATGTTTTATTTTTAAGTGGTGAGAGGAGTATACTCTGACATAGAAACCATCCACTAGACACACCTACAGTAGGACGAACACCTAATTTATTTTCTTCTTAAGTCCTTGGGAGGGAAATTGATATTCACTCATTTGTAAAGATTTGGGGGCGTATGGAGATGTTGGGTTTACACAGAGAAAATAATCCTTTAGAAACTTTTAAACTATCCTCCTTAAATGCTTATTTGTCACATACAGTTTTAGCTTATTTTCCTACTATGGCTGGCACTGAAGAAGGAATAATAAATTATTAAATTGAAATCATTAAGTGACTGTTCACAGCAGACACTGTACTCTGCTAATTGTGTGCTTGGAGGCAGCACAGAGGGTGCTTGTTTCAGAATTCTTCTTTAATTAAAATTACATAGACTTACAAAACACCAACTGTGAACAGTAATGGAACCTTGGTAGATCCATTCTGTTCACCTGGAAAACAATACACATTGAAATACGTGCCACATTTTATACCTAATAAAGACTGGAGTGGACATTGCCAAGAAAGGCTGAAAAGTTGACAAAAGATTCCAGGGGCTATTTTAAATGGTCTCTCTCTC